CATCCCAGACACGAGTGTCAACAATAGGGGTGAATTAGTACGAAGAAAGCCAGGAGAATTCGATGGGAAGGCACCATGGGAAGCATATAGAGCACAATTTGAGCTCCTGGCATGGATGAATAGATGGACAGAGGAGCAGAAAGCCTGAAAGGACAACCACTGGAAATACTTGGACAGTTGTCAGCAGACAACAGGCCCAACTATAGAGCACTGGTAGCTGCACTAGAACTCAAGTATGGACCTCAAAATCAGTCTGAAGTCTACAGGGCTAGGTTTAGGACGAGAGTCCATGCAAAAGCTGGCACAGGATTTGGAAAGTATGGCACACAAGGACTATGCCACCTGATCTCCTCAAGTTATTGCTGAGGGATCAGTTTGTACATGCCTTAGACAGTCCACAACTGAAGATACAAGTAAAGCTGGCACACCCCTCTACTATGCAGGATGCAATGGTTGGAGCTCTTGAACTCGAATCCTATGTTAAGTCCAGCACAAAGGTACGAAGGTTGGTACAGTCATCGGGATTCAAGGGCAATTTTCAGAGAGGTTTGAGGGACTTTGATGGCACTGTAATAAATCAGGGCACAAGAAAGCTCAATGCCGACAACTTCAACACAGGGAAGATGCCACAGTAAGAAAGGCTGCTAACCAGAAAGGTTGTTGGAACTGTATAGAGCAAGGACATATGAGGAGCCAGTGCAAGAAGAATACTACCAATAAGTCAGCCTCGGGAAACCAGTAGTGGTTCACGTTGATGGATGCTTACCAACCTACACCATGAAAGTAATCGATGGTGAATATCATCCATCCTTTCTGATAATACTTAACTCCGACACATTTTCAGGCAACTCTTCATAAGGTTGGCGTCCTGTTAACAGATACACTGGCAACAGAAGTTCCCAACCAAACAACAACTTTGCTGGAGTGTATCCAGTGGCTTCATGCTCTGCTGTCCTATAGGTCATCAACAGTGGAGGGAGAAAGACATCCCAGTCACCTTGGCGGCTATTGCAAAACTTTGCCAATTTCTGACCAAGTGTCCAGTTGTACTTTTCTACCATCCCATCATCAACTCCTTCCATCACTTTGACTTCAGCTTGATGACACCTGGTGACCTCAACCTCTCTTTTGCAGCAATGTCTGTAGTCATTCTTGCAGGGTCTTCAGCTCAGTCCATCGGAATTTCCATGAGATTTTCCTTCTCTGTATTTAAAACGTAATCATACTGGTCTACCTTTCCGATCAAACGTACCAGTTGTCCCTCTGGGGTCTTTAATGATCTTAACCAGCATAACATAACATCGTCTGTCTTGATGGTAAATTTGGCCCCATATAGGTAAGGATGAAAATATGTGAGACTCTTTACTATAGCA